GGGTGTGTGTAAACAATGAGTAAAATCAAATCAAACCATACTAAACTCAAATATAAATACTAGCTTAATAGAATGATAATCAAACAATACAAAATGTAAAGCTAGATAGAGTTTAGAAAACTTCTCCAATAAATGACAAGAGAGAGAGAGATGGATTGAAGCTCAAATTCAATGAATTGATCCCCACTTCCTCTTGTGGAATTCTTCACAAACCAAACCCTTAAACAAACTTAAAACCAAACTTAAAACAAACTTAAACCCTTATTAAACTCTTGTTTAAAAACTTCTTATTATTATTGAAAGATGAGAGCAATGGGGTATATATAGCCTCCCAAAATCTCAGCCAAAACCCCAAAGGAAATGACCAAAAAGCCCATAGAGAAACAACTGAGGAACTAGCCGTTGGAACCCAACGGTCAGTTCGGCGGGCGACCGTGGAAAACTCGCAGTTGACCGCGCTGGACTCCATCCGGTCGACCATGACGGTGGACCGTGAGAGCATCCGATCGATCGTCACGGTCGACCGCGAGCCTCTGAAAAACTTACTGAGTCTCTAGACTCATGGGCGGTCGACCGTGGCGGTCGACCGCAAACAGACACATGAATTGACAGGTTTGAAAACTGTTTTCTGATTTTAAAACCATGTTTAAAAATATCAAACAAATTCTAAAAATATAAAACTTTGGGAAATGATTGTAGACATGATAATACATATGCTACAAAGACTGGTTTTCAAAAAGGACCTCTCAAATAAAAAATATCATCATTTTGTAAAATAATCCAAAACATGAAAATGTAAACATATGAGTTTTTACATTTTAGCTTAACCATGTTTTGAAACATTACAAAATGATTATATAGACTTAATAAAAGATGTGTATGGTTGTTATTAAGTCCATAAACCAAGAAAACAATATTTTCACAAAATTGCATATTTTGCAAACATTTCAAAAGTAAATATGATTTCATTGAACTAAATAAAATTGATATTTAATGAAATCATATATATGCATGTAAGTATGAAACAAAAATATGTTTTCTAATTATATTCAATTGTTTCATATTAAAACTTAAAAACTATCAAACCAAAACATATATGTATATATATAACTATATATATACAAAACCAAAATGTGTATGTGTGTATATGATTGAGCTTAAAGTACTAACACACATAATATAAAACCTAAAACTAAATGTTACCCAAGCAATCTTGATCTTCAATAAGCTTGACTTGGTACACTTTGCGGATGAAGCTTGAACTTGGATCTTCAACTTGAATTGCAAAGCTTCACTCCACTATTCCGTCAACCTCCATTGGATATGATTATGAAAGCTTGATTCCATTCATCCTTCAACATGTTGTTTGTCTACAATAAATAAGAAAACACAAATACTAGATAAATAACATTAGTGGTAAATTGTTTGTTAGTTGTTTGTCTACAATAAATAAGAAAACACAAATACTAGATAAATAACATTAGTGGTAAATTGTTTGTTAAACATCATCAAAACAAGAAGGCCAACAAAATACTAGATAAATAACATTAGTGGTAAATTGTTTGTTAAACATCATCAAAACAAGAAGGCCAACAATTTCCCTCCAGTTGCCTCTGAGAATTGCCCAGTGAGTGGTCGAGTACCCTAAGTAGGGTCGCCATTGATGATAGGGTCAACCGACACCGCCTTTCGCGTCGACTCAGTAATATCGGCTTGTCCGACTAGTTGGAATGTCGTCTCGTCTCAGCTAATAACCGTCTCTTGAGTCGATATAAAGATGTCGACTCGTATGGGAGGCCAGGATCTCTCATGCCGACCAATATCGCCTTTGGTATCGACACCAGATAGTCGACTTAATGAGTTGGTGGGGGCCGAGTCCTCTCTGATTATGTCTTGGGTTTATCCCTGATAAGGTACCAAGGTCTTGTAATTCGACCATCTGTCGTGCCTTGGGCTCACCTTGATAAAGAGCCAAGGGCTTGTAATTCGACAAAGGAATCAGATGCCTAGAACTTTTGATCGTTGACTAGGGCTCTCCTTCCCCTAAAGCCGAGAGACGACTGTGGGAGTCGGCCACAGAGATGAGTTTGTTTTGCTAGGACTCTCATTATATCATTTTGTAAATATCTATATCTTGGGTGAATGAACACCATAACACTAAAGACCCAAATTTTTAACCCCAATTTATTTTTGGACACACTCACTTTCAAATCACTCGTATACCAAAACACACACCAATTTATTTGTAAGTCCAATTTGTATTCTCATGTGCCAAACATAAGTAAAGAAAACAATGAAAATAATATCTTAATCCTGAAAAGTTAACTATTTTTCCTTTTTAACGAAAGGGTATATTTCAGGACTAAGAAGGAATTTTGTCTTTTTTTATATTTTTTATTTTCTTGCACGTGCTTACCTAGTGACACTTCAGAGTTGATGGTGATAATTTGAGGATAAAATGAGAAATATTCAAGTAAGATTTAGTGTTTTCGTCAAAAGTTACCTTCATCATTGATTTCATTAAAACTTCAAACGTTACAAATGAATTCAAACAACAAAAATAAAAATTACAACTTTCTTGAAAATAAACGCAAGATCCGTTTATCGTCTCTTGCTTGCGTGGGTCTTTAGCCTGTGACGGGGACGTCGATATCCGTGGACTACCTGACAATCAGATCTGATCCAGAAAAATCGGGCAGAGCTTCGTCGATCCGCGAGGAGATCTAGAAACTTGAAGCGCCTATCTCGGATAAAGCGAGATATTTGCTCTTCTTAGGATTACCGACGAGGGGTAATGCTAAGGAACCTCGACCACTCTTCACTGCAGCAGGGCTTCGCCAATTTCTCTCCAAAACTCCAGATCCTCCAAAAGTGAGGCCTAAGGCTTCTATTTATAGGCGACACCCCTGGGGTGTCCTCAAAAATCTAGGACACCCCTGGGGCGTCCCCAAAAATCTAGGACACCCCTGGAGCGTCCCCAAAAATCTAAGATACCCCTGAGGCGTCCCCAAAAATCTAGGACACCCCTGGGGCGTCCCCAAAATCTAGGACACCCCGTTGTAAATTCTTCGTCCGAACTCGGATCTTAGTGATTCGAATTGCGTTAGAATTCTAACGAAGAGTTCTATCAGCCCCGATGGTTGGATTATCTGTAGAATGAATGGGAAACGAAGGGCATTGTTTCCTTTGTAAACATTGCGGGGCTCCTGATTAGCCCGCACCTTCGTTATTCCGGAATTCTGTCAGCTCACGTAGTTCGTCGGTTCACTTCAAGCGTTCACCGACGTCAATCGAACTCCTGTGAACCGGATAGTGACGTTCACCGTCATTCCTTAACATTGAGCTGTTCGTAGAGACCTATAGGCAATTTTCGACGCCTACAGATACCCCCTCCAAAGCGTTCCGGACTCGTTTCTTTTATAGAAGATGCTGGAATACTTTGGATGTGATTGGTCTAGCCTTCAGTCGGCGTAAAGGACCTGTAGTTAGCTTCAACTCTTGGCTCCTTTGATTTTCGGTCTATTCGATGCTTTGACGAATAACCGAAGTTCTTCCGGCGCTGCGTTTATCGCCTGGCCGTCGTCGGAGTCTCGAGTCTACCACCAGTGAGTCGAGTTTGGCTTGTGTCATTGAGTTGACTTTGAACTGACTATCTCCGTCATATTGTGCTGACTTAGGATTTCAGATCACCGTATGTTGACTTCTTGTCGCAACGTGTTGACTGGCGTTGACCTAGGGTTACGCGTTGACCGGCGTTTGACCATAGGGTTTCGAACATCATACGTTGACTTTTTTGGTCGCAACGCGTTGACTGGCGTTGACCTAGGGTTACGCGTTGACCGGCATTTGACCGTAGGGTTTCGAACGTCATACGTTGACTTTTTTGGTCGCAACGCGTTGACTGGCGTTGACCTAGGGTTACGCGTTGACCGGCGTTGACCCTAGGGTTTCGAACGTCGAATATTAACTTTTTGTCGCAACGCGTTGACTGGCATCGACCTAGGGTTACGCGTTGACCGGCGTTTGACCATAGGGTTTTGAACGTCATACGTTGACTTTTTTTGTCGCAACGCGTTGACTGGCGTTGACCTAGGGTTACGCATTGACCGGCGTTGACCCTAGGGTTTCGAACGTCATATGTTGACTTTTTTGGTCGCAACGCGTTGACTGGCGTTGACCGGCGTTTGACCATAGGGTTTCGAACGTCATACGTTGACTTTTTTGGTCGCAACACGTTGACTGGCGTTAACCTAGGGTTACGCGTTGACCGGCGTTGACCCTAGGGTTTCGAACGTCGAATATTGACTTTTTGTCGCAACGCATTGACTGGCGTTGACCTAGGGTTACGCGTTGACCGGCGTTTGACCATAGGGTTTCAAACGTCGAATGTTGACTTTTTGGTCGCAACGCATTGACTGGCGTTGACCTAGGATTACGCGTTGACCGTCATTGACCCTAGGGTTTCGAACGTCGAATGTTGACTTTTTGGTCGCAACGCGTTGACCGGCGTAGACCTAGGGTTACGCGTTGAGCGGCATGGACCCTAGGGTTTCGAATCAACCTGAGGAGAACCAGTTTATACTCGTGTACTCGTGGGAGTTTCGGGAATTAGTTTAGCCTCGTGTACCCGTCGGAGGTTGACGGGTTATCCTTAAGAATATTATACATAATATTTTCCAGGAACTTCCCGTCAATTGTGAGAAATAGTTTAGACTCGTATTCTCATTGGAGTATAAATACGAGTGTTGAATACGTCGTAAAATATTCGAAAAGAAGTTTAAAATGCATATGAATTACCCTCGTGCGAACTAACATTTCGAGGCTCACACGCATTCGAATCAACAAATTAGGATTGGTCCGGCTCGGTTCAAATCAATTTGAGTTGGTTTGGGTCAAGTGGGCTTGGTTCATATGGGTTCGGTCCAACCCAAGAAACAATCCCCATTACAAAACCCGATCTCCTCCTTTTTCCCTTCTCTTTTGTTTCTTCGGTTCCCAAAGTTCCGTCCCCATTTTTTTCTTTCCTTTTTTTTGTTCGGTCCCCAGCAAGCAAAAAACCGCCCTCCCCTTCATTTTTTTTTCTTCGGTTTTGAAAACAGAGAACTTCCCCCTTCAACTTCGGTTTTGTGCTCTCCTTCTCCAAGGACTTCATCCTCTTCTTCTTCAAGCCTTCTAAACTCTTCAAAGCTTCATCTTTCCCTCATCCTCTCCAAAGCTTCAAGCAAAGAAAGTTGGGTTTGGAGGATCTTCATCAACAACAAAGTCTCCTCTTCAAGGATTCTCCAAGCTTTGGTAAGATCTTCTTTCCTTCATGCTTTAGATTGATTCTTTTCTCTTGAATCCTCCAAATTTCAAAACCCTAATTTTGGATTTGGGGAAATTTTAAATCTTGATTTTTGATTCTTGAAAGTTGGCCGAAAATTAGGATATGTATTCCCTCACCTTTGATTTCACTACATTCTTAATTTCATGCATATACATATGGCCGAAATTTGGGAGATGGATTGTGTGCAAAATTTAGGGAATTTGAGAGGGTATTTGGCCGAAATTAGGGCTGAAATTTTGGGGGGTGTATGTGTAAATATGAAACTGAAATTTGAAGGGCTTTTATGCAAATATATGGCTGAAATTTTGGGGGGTGTATGTGTAAATTTCGTTCAATGTGGTTTGAGGGGTTTATTTGCAAAAGAGCAACCCACAAAGTATATAGGGGGTTTATTTACAAAAGGACTGGAATTTTAGGGCTGAAATTCCAAAAGTTTAGATCACAAACCTACGACCAAAGTTTTGACAAAAGGACTGGAATTTTAGGGCTGAAATTCCAAAAGTTTAGATCACAAACCTACGACCAAAGTTTTGATAAAAGCATGTGGAAACCAAACCGAAATTTGTGGAGGGTCTTTTGCAAAATTGGCTAAATTCTACAAAAGGGCTTATTTGCAAAATTAACCAAAATTGTAGGGTATCGGGGGTGCTATATGATCAGATATGATGACCATGACCCAACTCGAGCGTGTTCTTGACCCGAATTTAGCCTTGAACACGAGGGGTATTTTGGGTATTTATACGAGGGGTATTTTGGGTATTTCACCGAAATTTATCATGATCATTGTTTTGCATGCACGAAATTTGTAGGTTTAATTAGACTTCAACTATAAAATCCTATTTATACATAGGATTTTAATTAAAGTTCTTAATTTCCCTTTTAAATTTCGCGTATTCATACTTTAGATTGTATCTGACTTGCTGCTTTTCATTGCAGGTTTCCGATGCCTCCACGCCGATCTCGACTTCCTAGGAGTCGATCCCATTCGCAGCCTAGCGAGGAAGAAGTTCCCGCAGCATCCTCCCCTCCAGCGGCTTCCTTTTTTGGGGGTGGGAATTTTTTCTTATTTTTGTATCCCCGATTGATCCCTTCGCGGGTCATGAAGGAAGAACCGACACCCTCCTTCGCGGGGGTCGAGGTTTCGGACTTGGTGGTTCTGTTATACCCTCGTTTGGCCCCTTCGCGGGTCATTCGGGAAGAGCCGACACCCCCCTTCGCGGGGGTCGATGTTTCGGACTTGGTGGTTTTGTCATACCCTCGTTTGGCCCCTTCGCGGGTCATTCGGGAAGGGCCGACACCCTCCTTCGCGGGGGTCGAGGTTTTGGACTTGGTGGTTTTGTCATACCCTCGTTTGGCCCCTTCGCGGGTCATTCGGGAAGGGCCAACACCCTCCTTCGTGGGGGTTGAGGTTTCAGACTTGTTTTGCTTGGTCAATTCAAGTCTTCTGGTATATTGGGGCGATCTTGTGTCGTCTTACACCTTATAGGTCGGTGTATGTTACCACGTTATTTACGTGATGATGCATACCGTTCTTCCAGTGTAGGACACTCAAAATCGTCTCTCCAATTATCCCGTGACTGATCTTATCTCGCTTTTTATGAGCTTTCTGACTCTATCCTTGTGTTTTGTTGCAGTCGAGTTCCCCGCGGGCAGCCTTCCTCCTCATGCTAATACTGGTTGTAGCCGGGAGGTCTTCTCTTCAGCTTCCATTAGGCAGGCCGTTAGTCCACTCCCTCAGTTTGACAGAGATCGCTCCGACGAATCCTGTCGTTTGATACGGGATGGAGGGCGTCATTGCTTACGCCAGCTGATTACGGACGCCTCCTTCACTGCAGATTCTACTTCCACTCAGGCTTTAAAGAAGCCCGGTTTCCTGTTCGGGGATCACACGGAGGATCCTGCTACGTTGACTCTTACTGAGGAGCATTGGCTGAATCTTCATGAGGGAGCTCTCCTGTATATTCCCTCCATTCCTCGTCAATATTCTTTCACCCATTTGGAGGGACATGCCGTGGAGCGACAGATGTCTTGGCATCTTACCTATGATGCTGAGCGAGTTCAGTGTGGATATACCTCTCATCATAAGATTCCTGGTTCTACTGGATATCATGATATCCGCGGTCTTCGACCAGGGATTATGGGTCTTGACACTGCACCCCCAGGCGAGGTATCAGCAGCTGCTCCTACTGTGAAGAATCGTCTGGCTCATCTTGGGAGAAGGTTACCTCCACCAGATTACAGATGCTATGGTTGGGCTTTCTCACAAGCCAAGGGATGGTGGACACGCATGACCAGTTACGTCTTGGGGCGCTGGGAGAAGGATTTGAAGAGCAGAGGATTGTATGCACCTATACGGGCCACCATGTACGGACTTCCGGTCAGCTGCCGCCATTTCTTGGCGTTGTTGGAGACATACATGCCCGACAGTAACACGTTCATGACCAGCGGCGGAGAGTTAGGGTTGGCCTTACATGAGATGTATCAGGTTTCTGGTCTTCCAATGGGGGATTGTCCATATCAGGAGTACTTTCCCTCGAACCAGCAGTTGGGGTGGTTGAAGAAGGATACTCCCGACATGCATGATACTCTTTGGGACATCACTTGTCATTATTATACCTCCTTGATCAAGATTTCTCCTCCAGCGAAGAAGAAAAGGCAAATCAGCTTGAAACAGTTTGCTGTCTATCTGTTCCCTAATTTGGAGGGTGACTCCGGCGAGCCCCTTCGTGAGTTAGATGTCCTGACCCCTACCGCCATTAATGAGTTGATGGAGAAGGCTGAGGCTCATTCTTACACCATTGCCCGTGCTGAGGGAGCTTTTCCTGCAGGAACCAAGTTTCGTTCGTTCCTCCGCCGTGCACAGAAGTCCATCGAGCCCCGGACTCTGCTAGCAGGCTACATTGCCCTCTGGTTGAAGAAGTGTGTTGTTCCGTACCGGTCTTTAGACGCCTTACCTCTCGAGGTGCTCTTCCCCGCAGTTCAGCTAGCTTATGGGAGGGAGCTTTCCCTGCTCCCAGCAATGGTTGCTGACATTCATTGTGGGCTTAGGTATCTGGTCAACGGTTTTGAGCAGGTGGGTTCTGAACCGTCGACCGAGCTTACTTGTGTGAAGGTCGAGCTTCCTTATGCGTATCTGATGGCGTGGCTTGTTCTTCACCGTCCTGACTTGATGTCGGCGCCCAGCGTTGTTGATGTCCCCGTTCCTTTCGTGCAGCTGTTGGAGAGGAGCAGATGGCTCGGGAAAACATTCAGTGATGTACAACGAGAGCTTCGAGTTCGTAAGAGCTGGGAGTTCTTCAAGTGTTTTCCTCACTTTTCGGGTCGCTATGGCGATGTGCTGATTGATGAGGAGAAACCCAGAACTAATCGGACTGCTCTCGACGTTGGTTGTTTCCGCTGGTTGGTGAACATCCGCGTCGCGTATCTCGTTCTTCGGGTGAAGAATCGTTGCCACATAGAGCCTTACCTTCCCTGTCGTTTTGCTCGTCAGTTCGGCTATGACCAACTATATGTTGGGAACCCGAACCGTGGTTTGAAGATTGAAGGAGGGCTTATTGACGGTGTTCGGGCATGGCTATGGACCATGG